GCCGGAAATTGGGAAACTTGAGAGAATTTGAGAATGCAAAGTGTTCAAAATTTCTGGAAAGTGGGATTTTCTCACCTTTTATAAAGATCCAAGACGAACCCCACCCGTCAGATCAAATCTCAGTCAATCCGAGCCCTTCGTTACAGATCCAATCTAAGGCGTTGAATTCTAACAGTTTTTGAAATCCTACGCCTCCAATCTATGCGTAACTCACACGCATCTCTCCAGCGCGTCTGTTTCTAGAAACGCCAGCTGCGCTCATAATTGCATTTTTAATTCGTCGGCGCCAGCGCCTTGGAAGTTGTAACGGTTTAGCTACCGTTCCTCGAAAACAAGCACAAAACATCAAATCATTGGCACAGAGACCAAAGCATAATCATTACCATTAGACCTCAGCTTCTTCATATGCCATTCAGCATTCAAGCCCCGCAGGTTCGGTTCCCAACCACCTCGGCTTCTTCATATGCCATTCATCATTCAAGCCTCGCAGGCTCGGTTTATCAACCACCTCGGCTTCTTCATATTCCATTCAGCATTCAAGCCTCGCAGGTTTCGGTTCCCCAATCACCTCGGCTTCTTCATCATACACCTACAGCAAAACTTCTCTAACTCCAACCATGATATAAATATCTATACTTAGACTCGTGGGACTATTGTTGCGCGTTGTCACACCTGTCCTACCCACCTGGGCCAGTGGCCCACTCACCCTGATCCACGTGGCATTCCTGCCGAGGTGGCCACATTTGCCGAGGTGGGTTTTATCCGAACTGCTTCTAACCGAGGCCCGAGGCGTGGAAGCTCCTGGTTGTAGCTGAGGTCCTCGAATGGACGAAGCCCCGAAGTCGATGCGCGAGCCTCAACCACAAGGAAACATCCTCCATTGTCACTTCTCCCAAGAGATCGCCTGCACAGATCTTATTCGAATGATTGATGGAATGTCTGTCATAAGTATAAAGGTCAAGTCTTGTCACTAGCGTTGAGGCCCTGCACAAGCAATAAATACTCCGTAAGCTAGCAAGTCAAATCCCGTGCCTAAGAACAGACGTTTAAACTAAGGAGATGAGGCCACGTACCACTTCATCCAAGGGCCTCCATTCCATATGTATCACTATAAATACCCCCATTGTATAATGTCAAAAGGCTAATGCAAGAATCAATACTAAAGACTACACTTACTTAACTCTCTCAGTGACTTGCAATACATAAATCAAGTTTATACGCTTTTACATATACATCTACGAGCACCGGTTGGTAATTATTGTACAATCGGATTACGAATAACTCGCCGGATCTCGAACGTCACCGTCCCGCGTCGTCGGGCTACTCCCACGCCCCTTTAAACTGCCCGTTTTAGACCGTCCATGTGTCTTAGCGTGTTGGACATTCGTCCACGCAAGCGCGGGTGGGACCGGCATCTGTTGGCGCACTTTTTGGGGCCAACAAATACCATATTTCATTTTTCATCAAAAGACAATATGAAATTCATAAATCGTAATAGACAATAATTAATTTCATAAACAAACCTAGATCATCAAGTTAGAGAAAGCCAATACTTGAAATTGAGAATGATGTCTAAATTTGAAATTAATAATAATTTCTTTTGAACAAACAATGTATATTTCTGCAATCACCTGTCAACTAAAATATACAAGTGAAGGTTAAAAAGCATTGTCCAATCTCGTAACATATCAAAATTTCTATCGTGGACAAGTTTTTGGTAGCTATACAAATGGATCCATCCATCCATGTTTCATCATTGGAATATTATTTTCTCTCTTCAGTATGATAGTTATCGCCTAAACATGCCAGATTTAGTGAATATATAAGTAATTTGAGCCAAATTAAAATTCTTAAGGCCATGTCAATTAGACATCAAAATATAAACAAAGTAATCCAATAACTTGACTCCCACTATGATACTGCTTCAAATTATTTATTCCCTTTTTCACCATGTACACAGTACGTATCAATCTTTCTAAATTAATTTTCCTTCTATCACTTTCGAATTAAGAAAAAATGACAAATTACATGTTAAAATGAGGGAAAAATGAGGTCACGACCACGGAACTTCAAAACACATTTTTAATATCAAGATAAACGAGGGCTTGAGGCACAAACTAGAGATTAAGGGACAAGAGTACATATATTTTCAACAAGTAGAAATACAATTGCAAATCTCAAATTTAAAAACAACTAATTAAAGGCTTAAATTGACAAAAAAAACTAAAGGCACATCCAATGAATACAGACATGAGCGGACCCTAGTTTGCTACCTAGATGGAAGAAAAACAAATGTCAAAAGTAGATGATAGATTTGTTACCTAGATGGAAGAAAAATCACAAAATTAGCACAAGAAGAGAAAATTCGAAAATATGAATGGCGAATTAGCAATCTCGTACTCTCTGTGTTGATTCTTCATTTCTTCTCTCCATGAGGCTTTACGGAAAAGTCCGTCTGAATGCATATGAAATAATAAGAAGCCTGCCACTTGAAGAATTGGAGAGAAAATGGTAATGGACTTGGTGACTTGGAGTTGGACAAGTGAAGAGCAATAATGGGCTTGACAATGGGCAACGTTTTGATTAATTTACATATTTAAAAAAAGGGTTTGGAAATAGGTTCGAATAATTTATAGATTTTAAAAATAAAAATAGAAATTTTTGTGGGGTCAATTGACCCCACATGACCCCATGTGGGTCCGTCCATGGCAAAGATCAATTGCATTACAGACGAGGTAGAGAGGCAGAAGATTTTATTGAAATGAATCAATAGGAAGAGGCAAAGACGAAGACTTATTCAATGAAAGAAAAGAAAAGAAGGTAGGTTAAGGACTAGGTTTTGTTTTCTTTTTATGGGCCGGATGAATTTTAGTTGGGTTGTGAGCTACTTTTCGAAACATTTAACGAACATTGTAAACAGTTAAATTTTTCCCAACAATAATTGAAAGTTGCTATAAATGAAGCTTTTCGCAACATTTAACGAACGTTGCAAAAAGTAAAAATTTTTGTATGTTTTCACAACAATCATTGAACGTTCTGAAAAATGAAACTTTTTGCAACCTTCAATAAATATTGCAAAAAAGTTAACTTTGCGCAACACTCGGTAAACGTTGCATAAGACTATATAGTACGAGTTTCAGCAACATGCATTGAATGTTGCTATAAAGCCAGATTTTAACAATGCTCAATAAACGTTGCAAAAATGAAACTTTTCACAACATTCAATAAACATTGCAAAATATGACATTAGGAACATGCATTTAAAAAAAAAAATATTGCTAAAGCTCAATTATATTAACCAATAACAACATTCACCCGTTAAAAATGTTGTGATAGACACCTTTAAGAATATTCAATTAATGAATGTTGCGTTTTAGTGTTGTAAAAGATCATTTTTATCGTAGTGAATGGTGCTGGTGATAGTAGCGGTAATGGTAATGGTTATGGTTGTGAGGTGGTGCGACATTTGTGTACAAATCTTTGTGCTAAAGGTGATGGTAAAATGGCAGCGGCATTTACGGGGTTGAGCGGGGTGGAAAGAAGAGCGCGATTATGACCAATTAGTTGGATAATTGTGAACAAAAATGAATAACTTATGATCAATAAATAATGTGTAACCTAAAAAAATGTGTGATTTGCTGTTAAATTTGTAAATATGATAAGCAATTTGTGTATTTTCAATTGTCACCTTGTGTGATTTGTGACTAATATATGACTATGACCATAAATTATGTGTCATTACGACTTTGACCTATTTAATTAATTAATAAGTCACAAATTTGTAAATGTGACAATAATTTGTGTCTTTAAAATCGTGCTCGACCAATTTGTGTCATATCAAATCAGCATGGTTTATCGAAAAATGCAATACAGACGAGGCTCTAAAAAGCATAATGCGTGACAACGCTTTTTGACTGAGTATCAAGCATTACAAGAATATTCTTGCCTATGCGTAATTATGCGTTTATCAATTTTTAATATTATTTTTAATATTTTAAAGTAATAAATAAATAAAATAATGCATTCTTTAAACTTTATACATATTCTTCGATTTAAAAAAAAAATCATAAATGTTACAATTACTTGGTAATAAATTCCTTCAATTAGATTAGACTCAAACATCGACTTTAAAAAAATCCTAAATATTGTCCAACTATTTATCAAAATCTAGCCGTTGTTTAAGCCCCATTTTGGGGGAGAGAATGAATTTTTGAATAATGTATTGATGGAAAATGTGTGGTTAAAAAATAAGGAAAAGTTTTGAATTTATATGTAATATTATTTTATTGAAAAATGTGTAGTTGAGATGATGTTGAAATACTGTTGAAAAATGCATTCCTTCAAAAGAATGAGGTTCAAACAAGGGCCTAATTCTAACTCTTCTTTATCTAAATTATCTTTCATACCATCTAATGTAAAAATATGCTCATCGGACTCTCTTGTTTCAACTCAAATTTTTTTTTTTTACATTTTATAGATGGTTGGATATGATCATTATTAACCTTTTCCTCATCATCATAACCATCAACAATCCAAGATTGTTAGTTATTAGCATCACTTGTTAGTAAAATTAGAGACAGACACATGAATGAGGCTTGGTCTCGATGTAGATAGTTTGTGACTTCGCAAAAAATTTGTTTTGATTGTTTAAATGTCAAAACCCTAAATATTACTGTATATAATTCATGAGCTCGAGTGACTTGGGTTAATTTGATATTTGGTGGGCTTAATTTGCTTTTTCTTAGTTACAAAATTAAGCTGGAAATTGCTAGGCTAATTTTTATATAATTTATAACACAAATGCATGTGCATTTTTGAGTTTAAGCATGGATATGCATTCGGCGAAATTGGTTGAGATAGTGCCCATACTCCATGTGAGGTGTTTTGAAAACGCATCAAGCATATGTGGGTTTATGCGAAAAATATGCTTGCATTTTACAACACTACCTAGGACTACTAACATAGAAATCGAGTATCAAAAGGCTAGGGATGTCCCTAGTTCATCATGGCTAATCACACTATCATTATTAGAAAACAAGATTTTTATTTGGGGAATGGACTTCGCCCATATCTCCTTGGGTTACAATACATATGTAAGAAGCCCCCACCAATCCCTATATTCTTCCCATTCCTTCTAAATACAACTGACAGAAAGAAGATACATCTTGACAAGTTTGTTGGATATGTAGTACTCGACATGAACCAACATTACAATGAATATTATTACTGTCGAGCAAAGTCCATCGCACCAAACAAGTCATGAAAGTTTACAAGTAGTTAGCAGTGACACTTGGATTAACCTTCACCAAGGTCTGGTAGTCCACATCATATTGTTGCTGTTCTTGCGTTTGCAGCTGTTGCACAGAATCTGAAACCCTAGATGAAGAAGCCATGATATCAATATTTCCAAATTCAGAAGAAATCCCTTGTGGGATAAATGATGAGTAATCAGTACTTGTGCTTCCGCCATGCTGCTGCTGATGACCCCTAAGCTGCAATGCTGTAAGAAGCAAAGAATTCATCGAAAGATTGGAGCTTAGAAGTGGCCAGCAGCTGGTTAGTGGTGGCTGCAGAGAGTTTGCTGCAGCATTAATCCAGTTCATGTTATGATCGAGCCCCGGCCCATTGTAGTTTTGCAGGGTGGAAACGTTGTCGGTGATGTTTGGTAATTCGATATCCCCAAGCTCACTGATGATTGCATTTGTATCACAAGGGGATTCTTGGGATTGAGGTGAGACTGGTGTTTGCTGAGGTTTCTTCATTGTTGAACTCTTTTGGAAGACTCTACATACCACCCATTCCTCCTGAGAATCAAAATATATTGTTCAAAATCAACATTTTTATCCATAAAAGTTTGATGATTATGTAATTATAACTACACATATTTTGCTAGTTTCTTGATTCCATAAATCTTGATCAGAATCATGGATAAACTATTGTGGGACTGAGTGATTGAACCTCACTTCTTTGTAGCAGGTGGGTTTTTTTTGCGTCCCTTCACCCTTTCGTAGATTCTTTCAATCTATAGTTTTTAAAAAACCTAATTAGTATCATTTTTTCTTTGTAATTTACGAACACGGATAAAATACAACATTAATAAGTTAAGGGCTAGAAAATAGAACAAGAAAGAGGAATGGACTCAAATTTCTTCCAAATAGAGTTGCAACGTAAAATACAATTGTCTCGTCTAAATATATACGAGGATTAACCAATATTATAGTCACAATTGAAAACTATACTTTCTAAGTGCATGTCTGGGTTGATACTCATCAAATTTTTAAAATTTTTTTTTATCTTTGTACAGTAATTTGGCAACCGCACCTTTTGATCAGATTTTGCAGAATTACATTTATACCCTTTTGACATTTAATATACTAATTTTGAAAGAATGACATTTATGGTAATTTAACTAATTTTGAGTCAAAATATTACGACTGCAAGGGACCTACCTACTCAACCGTCCAAATTTTTCTTAAAATATGGTGAGAATCGGCGTCGGAAAAGTGCTTAAATCGAAAAAGATTAATTAGAATTAATTACCTTTGTAGGTTTGAAGGCAAGCTTGGTTTCAAGTCTATATTCATGCATAACCCAATTGGTTTTTTCACCCTTTGGAGCTCTACCTCTGTAGAAAACTAGGGTTTTCTTCATTCCAACCAAGACTCCACCACCATAAATCTCCTTGTCTTTGCCTGTTGTTTTCCAGTAACCTGCTTCTGTAGCTCTATTGGTCCTCAATCCAGTCGGGTACTTACGGTCTCGCAAGCTGAAAAAGTACCATTCTTTTTCTCCCATCGAGGCTTTGGCTGCAGTACGTTTTTGCATAAAAAATAAGGTTTATAGGAGTTAAAGACTTAATTAAAATAAATAACGTTACTCTCTCTGACCGTCTAAATTTACAATGGTGTCAGAAAATGGCTGTCAGCCATTGATAATAAAATTTGTGAATGCAGCTTTGTCTAAAAATAAAGAATATGATCTAATGTTATTTGAATAAATTATAAATTTATCGTATTCATAACTTAAGATTTTAAAAATCTAATAATAATTAAACTTAAAATTGGAAAAAAAAAAAAAAACCTTTTATGGCTTTGGAATTTTATCCTTTTGAGTTTATTTTCATCAACTCAGAAAAAACCAAAATAAAATATTAATTTTTTTTTTTTTAAACATTATCAAAAACCTAATGCATTTGTTCATCATGTCGAACAAAAGACCAACTTTTATCTAACAAAGGAAGAAAAATTAAAAAGAGAAACTCTTGCAATATATACTAGATTCTCTAAGCTTCGAGTTTATTCATATTATGTTCATAATAAGTTGAAAAGATCTATGCCAAACTCCTCGCCTCCTCAATGGAAGACTCGAACAAAAACATTTGAAGAATTTTACTTTTCTATGAAATCATCTACAACTCGAAAAAGTTATCGATATTTAAATCAATCAAATACAATCTAAACACGTACCAGGGAGATCCCAAGGTTCACACTTGTTAAGATCAACATCAGCAATAGCCCTTGAAGTGAAACTAAATTCTGAAACCTTGTTACAAAGATAATAAGTGATGAGTTCTTCATCTGTGGGGTGAAACCTGAATCCAGGAGGAAGATTTTCCTCCATTTTCCGTTGTCTATCTTGAAAAAAACTCGTCTAGTCCGAAAAATTATAAATTCTCTGAAAAAGAAATGAAGTACGGATGAAAAAGGGTTGATTATAAACTGGTGCAGCCTGCGTGTCCTTGAAGAAGAAGCTTCCATGGCTGCTCTTTTTAATTACAGCTAACATATTGACAAAGACCGTCCATGAAGAAGAACTAGATTTGGATTACCATATTTGCCATTAGGGTTTTGAATATTTTTCTAGAAAACCTTGAAAAATGACATTTTTGGAGGACAAAAGTGACAATTCCTTTAGTAGAAATAGTAAACAGGAATTTTCTCAACGGCATAGTCCAACCACCTTCAACCATTTCTACCCACCAAAAATCTATATCAACTCAGTACTTTATCTGATGGGAATATTGCTTATTATCTTGAATATTATATTGACACCTGTTTTCGTCATCTCTCTCTTTTTCTAAACACGTGTTCGTTTGAGTAAATCAATTAATTGTTTCTTTTGCTGCATATTTTCTTCTCATCTATTAATACTTTTAAGGATGTTTACAGATTTTTGTATCATTCTTATAAATTTCTAGTTGCTTAACAATTTTGATGGCAAAACACCCCCCACCCTCCCATTAATTTGCAAATTTGAACCCTTTCTAGTTTAAATTTATAATAGTGACATTTTATTTAGATTTTACAGCAGCTACTTAGTAGATGTTGTCATGATATTTTTTCATGGTAGCTATTTTTGGTTGTTATGTAAAATGTCAATATTATATCGGTAAATGTATATGCAGATTTCTTATAGAAAGATTTTTAAGTATTTGTAGGAAAAAAATCTAATTTGGCATTGTGTTAGTTTATAGTTTTTACCAATTGCGACTATTAATATTAAATATTTTCCTTTTATGGGTTTGGGCAAGGGATAAGAGCATGGAGTTTTAGGATATATATTCACTAGTTTTATATAATTATACGCAAATTATCGTTTAATATCACAACTATAGTCAATATTTAACTCATATGCATGGATTAATTAATTGAAACCATGCATTAATTATAATCTAATTGTACTTTAAATAATTATGATCCAATTATATGGTGCATTTGATAATCCATTGATGATTACATTAGTAATTCAGATGTTTCCTGGATACTCATTATTTTTAATATGTGGAGAGGTTACAAAGAGTGGTTAAAATGCTCACCAAACCTCAAGAATATATCTCATGACATCAACTTCTGTTTTGATTTTATCGCCAGTCCTTTTGAGTGTCCATTTTTTCAATCCTAACCTCATATTTATATATGTATATTTACATATTCACCTGTGTAACTTCGCTCAAATTCTTTGACTAAATAATCTTGATTCGTTTCATTTAAAAGTTAAAGTTTTTATAAAAGTGATACATTTATCTATTTTGTAAAATTGTCTTTTACACTTGCTACATAAAGTAGACTAGAAATACTAAAGCAAGCTATTGGGAAGTCGTGCTATCCAGTACACTACTATTCTTCTATGGTCCATACTAGATCTAATCGAGTTTTGTTCGCGTCTTTTATACACACTAAAATCAGATTTTTAGTAAATTTCAAAAAAAAAAAAAACGATCTTTGAAAAAATGTTTGTTGTTGAAAAGTTGAGAATACCTTGAAATGCGTGGTTAAAAATTAAATGATGACTTTGACTTGAAATTTAATTTGATTTTAATTCAAATCAAATAGTGGCTAATTAAGAATAAAATCCCACATAAAGAAACAATAATAAATAGACTTATATAAATATATAACACACACCAAAATTTTATCAACCAATGAAATGATATGACACGTCACCGATACTCATTAGATCAATTCCTGATATATATATATATATATATATATATATCGAATTAAATAGTTAATTTTAACCACAAATTTCATAGGACTAACAATTTTCTAATCATATATTTCATCAACTTTAATCCAAATATACTAAAAATATAATTTTAGTCCCATCAAACAGGGCTAAATCTTTTAGTAAATATAGCCAAGGAGCCTCTTATCTAATTGTTGACATAGATATGCCAATCTTATCAAGAAACATAATTAGTCTTTAGAAAACAAGAAACAATTCGTTAACAAGTTAACTTTGTAAATAGTTATTGACTATCAATTTGCAGTATACTAGGAGTAGTTGCTCCGTATGTTGTCTTATGAAGGTGTGAGAGATACACTACTAAAAAATAGAGTTTCGGGCACTGATTTTTCATTCTTAAAGCCTCAATATCCGTTGCTAATAATCTTCATCAATGGAATATTTGCAACAACAAATCCGTTGGTAATTTGAGGGTCGCTGATAGTTATCAATAGATTGTGCCGTAGGTAAAGAGTAAACATTTTACCAACGAATTTTTCGTTGGTAAAGTGTGAATCTTTTACCAACGGAATTTTCGTTGGTAAAAGTCTTAACCAATACCAACGGACTTTCAGTTGATAAATGTCTACCATTACAATTAGTAAAAATCAATGTTATAAATAACCGTATGGTAAAAAAAAAATTATTTATATATTTATTATTATTATTATTATTATTTATTTAATAATTATAATTTTTTTTTAATTTTTAGCCAACGAATTGAAAGGCCAAAATATTGTTTAACTTCTTATTGGACCACAAATTTATAGAGAGCAACTACAAATATATTGTTGTAAACTTCCGATGTGGGATAAGTAAATTATTTTTACCAACGGATAATCTGTTTCTAATTACCAACAGAATGTTCGTTGCTGAAATATCAAAATTTTAAACGGTCATATTAGGCACGGAATATCCGTTGGTAAATAGATACTTTTTACTAACGAATAATCCGTTTCTAATTACCAACGGAATATCCGTAGGTAAAAGATCAAAATGTTAAATGGTTATATTAGGCACGAAATATCCGTTGGTAAAGAGATATCATATTTACTAACGAAAAATTCGTTGCTGATTATTGTAGCTAAAAATGAATTACTTAGTTAAAAGTGAATTATTTTTACCAACGGATGCAATCCATTGGTAATATTTAGTACATCACCTACGGAATATCCGTTGGAGGAAGATCCAACTATTGAACGGTTATATTAAGCATGGAATATTGGTTGGTAAAGAGATATCATCTTTACCAACGAAAAATTCGTTGCTAATTATCGTAGCTAAAAGTGAATTACTTTTATCAACGAATAATCCGTTTCTAATCACCAACGAATGCAATCCGTTGGTAATTTTTCATAGGTGAAAAACTGTTTTTTAGTAGGGATAGTAAATTAGAGAGGTAACAATATGTTTTCTATTCTTTTTCCATACGATGGTAAACGTTCTTAGTATAAGAGCATCTCCAATGTATCTACAGATTGAAAATTGTACCACAAAAATAAAAATAATCATGATTTAAAACAAAATTATCTTCAATGTAAGTTAATGGGGACTCCATCAAGCTATTGTGGCAGATAATAAAATAGCTAATACTTAAAGCTCTATCGACATTAAGGAGTGATGATTTCATAATTTTAGAGGCTTTATTAAGAATTGTTTTAATCACACCATTAAGAAGTATTGATTGCATCACACAAAATTCGAAAGTACAAAGTAAAGGAGAAAGGCAAAAAATGATCTCCTGATGGACTTGAAAGCCCAAACAACTAAGAGACAAGGACCAAATAGGCCAGCTCTATAACAAGAAAAATATTAGCAACAATTATCACACCCCATAATAATTAATAACCATATCCCGTGATTTAAGTGTTTCAAAAAAGAAAAACTACTTCACTTACATATATTTCGAAAATCTCTACCTACATTCATTCATTCTTCACCAAATCTGTATATCGCAACCTTTCAACCCTCATCTTCATTCACTATTGATACTTCTCTAGTGTACTCGCGGTAGCCATCGACGCTCATTGTCTTTCCAATATATAAACACCCATCAATTTCTACTTTTCTCTGAGAAAGCAACATTCAATAAATTCAAAGAGTAATGACTTGATCGAGGAGCAGAAAGAAAGGTCTCGGATAGAAGAGGTAAAAGGAAAGTAGATGAAATACATAAAGATTCTCTTTCGAAAAGACACAAATCCACACGATCAACCATAACTTCGATCGCGAAGGAAATAAGTTTTATTTTGTTCATTTTTTTTTTCCATTTCGAGCATACTTCTCAACCTTGAAATTGATTGGTAAAAAGTATGGACAATATATTTTTCATTTATGACATATTTTGAATTCAATTTTAGACTATATAATTTTAATCGAAATGTCGAACTGTAGAAAGTGATTTTGTTTTTATTGTGTAATTTTGATTTATGAACTAAAGAAGGGGATTTGAAACATATTTGTTGCAATTGTTTGTGACCTGACTATCTATTTACGATCAATGATTATGTTATTTGTTATTTGTGACCAACATGCATGCATGGAGATTCTTTATACCAGAGTATAGTCAGTTTCCTAGTAAAATTACAATTACACCCACGAAGGGTATGCTTACAAACTTCAAAATGAATCTAAATGAAGCCCAACGACTTATACTTCAAAGAACATGTTTTGCCCACTTTTTTGAATGTGATGAAATTGTTATACAGTCACAATTGATACATTGTTTCCTGTCCAGGAAGGTTCAACAATTCAATGAAAAGGAAATGTAGTTTAATATAGCATGTAGATTTGTAAGACTCTCACCTTGAGAGTTTTGTTTAGTGACCTGGTTCAGACATTTCGACAATGTCGATACAAATAGCTGGAGAAGACCCTGTCATGTTTGAAAGCAAATATTTCAGTAAGTTAAAGGTTGTGACACATGAAAATGTAAGGGAACCATTTCTTGCTATGAGCGACATTCCAAATGAGGATGTTTCTATGCTTGGTGCGTTGTATTTTAATATTTCATATCTATATTCGAGAGATTATAAGAAGGTTGTTGAACACTTCTTATTCGTACTAGTTGAAGATTTTGACGTGATTGCCTTTGGTGCTCAATATAGAGAAGCATATGTTACTTATATTCAATTCAGTCAAGACATACAATGATGTCAAGGTTCATTTTGAAATCGAACCAT